TTTAACAGTTAAAATTAATTCTGCTGTTGCCCGAATGATACAGGAGGAAATCTCCCGTAAAACGTAACCACCTGCCTTTTATGGTATTGAAGCCATAGAACGTCATACCGGATAGATCGTCGGACGGCTTACGAAGGTTCACGCACACTGCTGAGGAACTGAGCGATGCTGCTTACAGTTCATGATTAGAATTGCTTCTCGCCTTCTGGCAGCTAGTGGCTTAGCAGCACGGTTACGACCTCCGAAGATCGACAAGAAGATGACGAAGGTACTAGGCAGCAAAAGAGAGGCTATCCTTTCTGCATAGAGGAGGCAGATGCGCATTGCTACTACAGCACATCAGATCCTCGTTCCACGAGGACGACACTAACACTGGGAGCTGACGATCGGAAATTGAGACATATCCTCACTCAGAGCAGGAGCTAGATGATGAGAACCGACGGGACTTTATCCTGCTAAGCGCCAGGGCTCTGAAATTTTAAAATTTTGCAGGTATAAGCTGTTTTACATGGGTACCAAATCAGCGACCCCCGCTGAGACCGGTGTTGGCGCTCTGGCAGAACCCAATCTGGCTGACAGAATCTTTGTGACGTGGTAATATTCGACTGAAGTGACAACGGACTACCGCTTCACTTTGTCACTGCCAACTACGGAATCAATCATTCTAATCGGTGATTTCAATGCTCATGTCAGAGCGAAGACCGAAAATGGAAAGGTCCGATTGAAAAGAACGGTACCATCGATGCCATCAATAGGCACGAAGTTTCTACGCTTTTGTGCAAAGAACGAAGGCTTTGCACTTTCTGTTATGAACACCTTCTTCGAGCCTCGAAAGGTACATCAGTATACCTGTCATATGGAAGCATGTGCACAGAAGTCGAGGATCGAATTGATGATCTATCGTTTGACTTACGACACTGTGCAATGGGTGTTCGCGTTAAGAAGTAGAATACTATGTCTAAAAGTATGTCTGTCTGTATAAGATGTACGGAAAGGAGCATGCTGAACACGAAAGATG